CTTTGATAAGTGAAGGAGTCAGGAAGAAAAACTGGCAGAACAAGAAACATTTCACTTAATTGCAGCATCAGCTATGTTCACAAAGGTGTATTTCATTCCGAGACCGCGTCTTACTCAGTTCAAGCATGTCTTCGGCATTCACAAGTTGTGTTACAAATCTAAGCAATATTTAAAGTTTAAGCATTTGAATATTTAGAGCAGCAGATGATGTGTATATAACCCTTAAGGAGCAAGTACATTCTCAAGAGATCTGAACACCAAGGAACTCTGTGGCATGTTGTCCAGATGTGACTCAAACACAACTGCACTTTCTAATCAGAGGGTAGTGTTCAAGTCTAGTGCTGTACAGCATGAGAAAAGCAGGCTGTAACAATGAACAGACTAGAAATGAAGGAAACAAGAGAACTCGATTCCTCCAACACTGAATAAAGGCCACTGCAATTTTTAAATCCCTCAGTGTTCTATGTTTTCTAGGTAAACTTTGCCATGGATGTCCACTCAACAGTCAAGGTACTTTTAGTTTAGTCTAAAACTATTTTAAGTATATGTACCATTTATTGGTTAAAATAATTTACCAGCTCTTACACAGACTTTTCAAAGTGAAAAGCAGGCTACTAAAAGACTTTATTTGACCTGTTTCTCAAGAACAGTTACACAGGCATCCAGGCATAAAGGCAGCAGACATAGGGCTGTGTAATTTTTATGTTAGTTACAACAGCCAGGAAAATCCTGCCTCCTGAGAGGACGTGGCAAGTTGCGGGTGAAACCCAAAAGAATCAGCCTGGTCCCTTTTCAATGGCAGGCAGCCTCAAGTCTTTTCCAGTCTCTGTAGTTATAGGTTTTAGCTTTAATTCTAATTAAAGTCATTAAAGTCAGATAAAGGCATAAGCCAGTTCTTACTGGAAATATATAGTGCCTTTCAAAACATTCATTGAGGTTTCTGACAGTTGTACCAGTTCAAAATGATAAAAGGAAATGGAATTTTTGAGAAAGGGATGCCACGGTTTAAACAATGTAACATTTTATACTCATTCTACCTGATTTCACACACTTTTGTGACGTTATTTAGCATGGCTTACAATCAGATTTAACTTTCTTAACTTCTTTGTTAATGTCTAGTGTATGTGAACAACCAAGAGTTAGCAGTGAATGCTAAGATTCTTTCTTCTCTCAAAAAGAATCTCAAGTAATAATACTTTAAATTAAGTAGTTTTGTAATTCATATGCATCCCATTCTAAGTGTGTCATTTTCGATCAATTTGGAAGTCAAGGATGAGTTAGAGAGCAGTTACACCAGTCCTACGTGCCAGTTAGACATTTCCTCACTCTGCTAAGCAGAGGGCAAATACTGTTTCATACATATGTGATCTTTCATATTTCTGCAGTGTCAGCCCATTAGTAAAAGTTATCCAGAGTATTTCAGTTAACAAGCCACTTTTAGGTAAATGGAAGTTAGAATTACTTAATGCGATGTTCTTTTGAGTCAAAGTTTATTATCCCAAAAGGAGTCAGTTTCAGTAGAAAACAGAATCTTCACTTAAAAGTCAAGAAGCACATTATCAAACAAAGTCAAATTGCAGGGGAGAAGTGTGATTCCTCCTAGAAAAGGACAGTTGGGTGTGATTTCTCATGAAAAGGGCATGTTCAGGTTTCTTGGTAATGTCACGTTCCTAAAATGCCAATACTTTTGACATTCTAGCTCTTAAACTTAGACAAGAACTATTAAATCTGAACATACAGTGGCACAGTTTAAGATTCGTATGGGATTCGTATCAAAGGCTATTCCCTGAGACAGGCAAGGGTAGTGAACGTTTAATTCTCTGAGTACAAAAAAGTAGACATATAAAATCAATTTCACCTCTTTACTCCTCCCTTTCAAGAAATTACTAAAATAAAAACATTTATCACCACGTTTTACCTTTCTAAAAATGTTTTCCTTTAATGAACATTATTGCAAAGCCACACACAGGCTGGGTGATTCACGCAAATTCTCTCCCCTGATACTTCTCTTAAAACCATCAGTGCCATGGAAATAAAGACACCTTTCTTACAACTTACACAAATTTAGTGAAATCCTAAAATAGAATGTAACTGTAATTCTTTACTTTTGGAAACTATAATAAGAAAAAGTTAATAAAACCACAGAATCTTAGTATGATTAGAACTTTTAAAGAATGCAAGTGTAATTCTGCACTTTTGGAAAATATAATGTGAAAAACAAATCCAAAATACCTCTCTATGTAAATTGAAACTCAAGCCATGGTATTCAAAATTAAAATAATTTACATAATCTACTATACTTTGTGTTTTTTTAGTAATTAACCTTCCTGAGGCTGATTTTGTTCTCCTTAGCGTTTGCTTAACTAAAGTGCTTAATAAAATTTCTACAGAATATATTACCCTCTCCATAGATGAATATTATTTTGAACTACAATCTGACAAAAATCTAACTACATTTAATTATGCTTGATTAATCCAAATGTCACTGAGAGATTTATAGAACAGAAAAATATTTTTCAGGTTAAGTTCATACTCTTCATTGTAAGCTTCCCAGATCCCATATTACAACAGGTTTACCATCTCAATTCTGTCACATTAAGAAGAGCCCCACAAAAAATATTCCGAATAGTCCAAATTGGACCATGGGACTCCAAACGTGAAGCTGTTTCTTATCATTGTCAAGAGACTTGCAGACAGGACGCATCAAAGACTTGGAATTGGAAGGTGCTGCAGCTGAGATCAATTCGTTACCATGGGTGGAGCTCGCGGGCAAAGAGATGCACACACAGGGTGTCTTATGGATTGAATTAAAACAGTGAAAGAATATTAGCCTGAGATAAGAGGAGGCTTTCTTTTAACACAGACACATAACTGTAACAGGCAGTTGTTCAGAGACCTTCAGTAATGATGCCCCAAGGTACTTCTGTTCATATGCAAATAAGTCAATTTAAAGGGTGACAAATTGCCCTACCTGTGGGAATAATGAAACATATCCCATCTCCTTCTCCAGTCAGCTAAACCTCCCACTGCTGTGGTACTCAGCTCTACCCCAAACGGTGACCAAACAGTCAAATGTGGAGAACTGCAAGTCTCTGATATTCCCTCTGAGGGAAAGTGGGACCAATGCCACCCAGAGTGGCACAGAGTCGCACGTGGTACACACGAGGTGACAGCCTGCATCCTGGCCACCTAAACCATACCATGGAAATCAGGGGAATCCATGCCCCTATTTTAGAGACAGATGGAGAGCTGGAGAGGTTTCTCAAGAATTCTGTGACTAAAATATTTTATGTCCCTTTTTGTCTCCATTTTAGGGGGGCATACACAGCTGGTGCCAACCTGCAAACTGAGAGGAAAGCCTTCTCAGGCAATCCTTTTCTTCCACCTCTAAAATGAGTTTGAAGCGTTAGATAGGGTCTCTCCTGAAGAGCAGCCATTTTAACTCCAGTATCATCATCCAGATGCTTTAAATTTCTACCTAAATAATGACTTCCAAATTCCAAGAAGACATATCCAGAACTTGCAGTAATTGTGTTTTGTTGTGAGGAAAGAACAGTCCATGTTATCTGATGAAATTTGATTGGAAAAGTTGGTCCCTCTTACTTGACCACTGCTCCTTGTTGGTGAGCAAGACAACAGCTGAAATGGGCTCTTCCCCAACTTCTCTGAAGCCCCAGTGCAGGGACCTTGACAAGGTCCCCCATTGGGCTGATCACAGAGTCCAAATTCAGATCAATAGATATAGAGGAGAAAAGAAGTTGAAAATCACTGGTCCTTCCTCCTCTGCAATGAAAACAATACTTAGAAGGTCTGGCGCCGCCCCATCCCATTTTTCTCCATTGCACTAATCTCCCAACTGACCTATAAAATTACCTGATTTTGTTTCTAGTCTGTCTTCCCTACCAGAACATGAGCTCAGGAAGCAGGGATTTCTCTCTGCTTTGATCACTGCTGTGTGCCCAGCATGTAGCAGTTTCTAGCATGCAGGAGACACTAGATATTATGAAGACTGAACATCACTTTCCTTCTCACAACTCCTCTATCTGCCACCTTTACTTCATGGTCTCTCTCACACAAGGGTGCCTGTGTTCAATTCTTCACCTGACATCAGCACAGGCAGGGGCCAAGTCTGACCGTAGGGGAAGGTCTTGCTTCAAGTAGAGATGGGTGCATACAGCAAGGCTGTCACTTGGCTCTGTGACTGTTATGCAAGAGCACTGAAGGTGAGAAGAGTTTGCTGCTGGTTGTCTACTGGAATGTACTGGCAACTGAGGCAGGGAGGCTTTAATCCCACAAATAAGCCAAATAAAACCCCCATCTTGTGATCTACCTCAAAGGCACTTTAAAAACATTAACCTATATGCTTCCATGGTAGGCCCCAGATCTAGCAAACCATGTGAGTGGATATTCATATATAACAAAACAAATTCTGATGAAGACTTAACATCTTTCTATTTCTTAACATACCATATTTTAGCTGGGGATTTAGCTCAGTGGCACCGTGCCTGCCTTGCAAGTGCAAAGTCCTGAGTTCAATCCCCAGTAATGAAAAGAAAAAAAAAAACAACCCATATTTTAAAATGGGTTGTTTGAAAAGGCAGGTAAGAAAACCTGTGATGCAGTAAAGCTCTCAGAGGGGCAAACCCACTTGAGTGAGGCAGCTTGACTGCAATCTGCTCATAAAAAGAGCTTCAACTTCTCTTGACAACTCAGATTATTAGTTTGAAATATTTTCCCATATTTAACTAACTAATTAATCATTGTCGATAGCCAATAGCTTCTTGAGTTTGTGAAAATGTCACATGTCCCCTATTTTTAAAGCAGAAGGTACTGATATCTCTAATGGGTAGAACAGGAACCTGAGTTAAAAGTTATCTTTCCACACTGAACAGTAAACAAAAATCCTGTATTGATTAAATTGTTAATGGTGATTTCCTGCTGGCAATATTGGTTCCTTCTGTTTACTAACATATAGATTGTGAAGGACATTATCTTCAAAGTCAATGTTTAAGCATCTGGACCACTGGGAAAGATGGCAGAATAAGTGTGTGTTTATATAAGTGCTCCTGCCCTCCAACACACACATCCCAAAATTGAGCCAGAAGCTGTCTATAGTGAAACTAATAAAAGCCACAAACCCATACCATGGGCTCCAGGGGAGTGTCTGACAATAAAGCAAAAAAGAGACACATCAATACACTCTAGAAAAAGAATGAACTCAGAAACTATGAAAAATATAGACAAAATGGTTTGGCCCTCAAATAAATGAAATAAAGAATCAGTGAGGATGACAGAATGACCTACAGAGAAAAGTAGTTTTAAAAAAACTAACAAGTAAAAGCCATATTACAAGCAACAGGGCCTAGTCTCTCAATAATACAGAAACCTAAGTCAGTGAAATGGAGGATAAGACTTGACAAAAAATCACCCAGCATGAAGGAAGACAAGGAAATGAAAGCCATCCAAAGACAAATGTGAAGGGCAGATGATAGAGAGCCAATGGAATGACAAATTCTTTTAAAAACGAACAGAACAGATACAAAATGCAATAAGGCCTAAAATGTCAGTATCTAATTGCTCGTTGTGTACAAGAAAATGTCAACAGACAACTGTCAATCCCAAGATAAACTCAAATGAAGTTACTGAATTTCAAGAATAAACAAAGAATCACAAGTATCCATGGCAAGCAAGCAGGTTACCTACAAGAGGGGAAGAGAAGTCCATCTGGACTCAGATTTCTCATCACCATCAGATACGAGTAAAAATAAAGTAACATCATGAAAGAACTGAAGGGAAAAGGACGTGCTCCAAGAATCCAATAGCCAGCCAACACATACATCATAAGTAATGTCAATTAAGAGACATGTGTAAATATGAAAGGGAGTCTAACCGATGCTATAATCTAGTCCACCAAAACATAAAAGCATCAACTCTCAAATGTGTAGTCTTTGTATGAAAGGGCTGGCAGTGAGCACTGACTTCATTCAAACATGGAATTAAGTCTAACCAACTCTAGTAATTACCTACAGCTATACATTTTCAGTTGCCTGTCTTTTTAGGTAAAAGCTGCCACATTCATTTGACTGTCTCCTCTGATTATGCTGAAATGAAAACACAAAAAAGAAAACCTCTCCTGAGTGAAACTACTTTGCATTACAGAAAGCTTTTGGTTTAAAGTTTACCCTTGAGGATTAATATATCCAAGAAATTCCTCAAAAGGAATAACATTAACTGCCTGGTGTATTATTCAGAGCACTAACATAGGAACAGGAAGATCCAACTACTTACTGTTCTTCTATTCACTTAGCAGGCCACCTTAGCAAACCACTTAACTGCTTTGGGATTCATGTGAAAGTAGAGATGTTCCTGTGTGGTCTACCTGCCTCGGGGCTTTGTGAGGCTCAGATGCCATGCTGAGTATAGAAGTTCTTGGGAATCTATAAGCAAGACTGTAAAGCCATGTCCCTGGATGGAAAGAACCCCTGTACTATGGAGCCAAAAGCAGAAATTCAGAGATAAAAAATGGATCAGATAGTTTCTGTGGATCTTTCTCTACTTCCTGTCATTTTCTCTATACTTTAAAACCACTTCATAGCACTATTTTAAAAAAAATAAATTTAGTACTTCCAAAGCCCCAGACCTGAATTATGAGTTTTGAAGATGAGGATAGCTTAAGAATTTAGAAGTTGTCCCACTAACCAAGGTAAATGTCAGTTTCCAGTCTTTGATTCAGTATTTATTAAGTATCTATTATTTTCCAGGCAGTATTTCAAGTAGTAGACATGGCCTCCAAATGATGGACATGAGGGCATTACAGAGGAATGGGGAAGGATTTGGCTAAAAAGGGGCCAATATCTATTTATATTACAATTTATAGGTAGGTAACTGACCCCTGGCTTACTGGCAAACCCAGCAAACAACTAGAGAGATGTGCTTAAGCTCAGAGGGTCATATACAGTCAAGAAAAAGGATAAACAAGTATGTGGATAAGGGGGCTGACAAACTGAGAATGCAAGATGATCCTTGAACTGTTCTTGTCAGTGAAATGAAGGATAAAACTTGAGAAAAAATTCTTAATGAAGAAAAAAGACAGGAGATAGAAGCAAGATTGTACTTGGGGTCAGGTGCATATGAGTAAGCTCTAAAGCAGCGGTGGTAACCCATGGCACACATGCCACAACCAGCTGTCTGTTGTCACTTACAGCTCTAAAATGTTTATCACTGGTCTAAAGTATATTGAGTCATTGAAACACTGAAATAAAATTTTGCTTTTGAGAAATACTTGTGAAGAATGTGCCAGGATTTTTCTATACCATATTTGACCCCCTACAAGGTGCTTGTTTGAGGGCTTGGCAGCACTGACGAACAAGGCAATAAGTAACATGACCCAAATCTGCTTCCTCCTTTCCCCTACAGCAGATCCCACTTAAAAGTACAAAGGAGAGGGCCAGGGATTTAGCTCGGTGGCATCGCACCTGCCTCACAAGCGCAAGGTCCTGACTTCGATCTCTGGTACCAAAAAAAAAAGTATAAAGGAGGACAGCTGGAAGTTGAGGCCTAGTAAGATAGGGAAACTATCTAATGTTTATATGGAAGCTAGGCTCTTTAAATGTAAAGGACCATTAATTTTATATCTTTTCTTTTCTGCAGTGCTGGGGATTAAACCTAGAGTTTTGTACCTGCTAGGCAAGCTCTCTATCACTGAGCCCCCCAGCCCCCCTGTACTTTTTTCAAATTTTTGAGACAGGATCTCACTGAATTTAGCAGGCTGGCCTTTGACCTGCAGTACTCCTGCCTCAGTCTCCTGAGAAGACAGGATGATGGCCAGGCACCACCACATCCAGTTTATTTTTACATCTTTTATACCATAAGAGAAGAGCCACGTGGAACAGCCCCATTCCTGAGACACTGACTTGGATCTCAAACAAGCAGCCCCATAGCCCATCTCACCAATCTCTTGTAAGTACACTGATAATGGCTTTTACTTGAGTGATTATATATGAGTTCTCTAGTGAGATCCTTCTGAGGACAGAATAGGTGAGATCTTTCTAAAGATGAAAGAACTTGCCATGAGCTCATAATAACATGAAAGAAATCCAGATTCAGTGAAACTAAGAGAAACAGAGTTGCCAAGTGCAGCTGGTCAGAGCCTACCTCCTTCCAGGGGAAAAAAATCCCCACTATGGTGGCAGTGGGACAACTGAATTGCCACTGTCATGTGACTAAAGGATGAAGATGACTTCTAAATCAGTAAAAATTTGACTGACATGAAAAATAACAGTAAAGAGAAACACAACCTACAGAGTTGTATAAGATGCTACTTTGAATGTGGACTGTCAGCCAGCTTCTATTACTAAGAGTAAATATAATACCATTCCTCTTTCCGTACCCAAGTTCCCTGTTAATTCTCATTCCCAATTCTAGCAAAAAATGAGGGAGGGTGAAAATCAGATTGAGCTGACAAATCTAAAACTGGATGAAATGAATGAAAATGAAAATGATGAAGGCCCACAATATTTTTCAAGTAAATTAGAAAGGACTTCTCCCTTCAGTAGTCTATTTTATGACTAGTAAAGTGCATGACACAGGAACTTCCAATTCCTTAGGAGACTACAAAGGAAAATGACAAAGATATAGTGTTAGACTGGTGCAATTTCTACAGAAGAAAGTATTTCCCATTCTTCATAAGCTTGATACTGATCACAAAGCAATTTTTCACTTATGATCTTTGAAATTAAGCTGTTAAGTGAAAAATTCCAAGACAACTTTTGGAATGCTTTAATTAATGGAAGTATACAATGAATTGTAAAATATCAATGCATCAGTGAGTAAGACCTAATACGAAAATAGGACATCTCATAATGAGAATGCAGACCAGATGGAGGTAGTCAAACCCAATCAGAGAGTGGAGGAGGGATGCACAGCAGAGAGTACCCTGGGACTGAATTCTGAAGGTGTGCTCAGCTGCTATCTTCTATTTCTAGATTCCCAGACCCTAACTGGAAGTTTGGGCAAATATGGTATTTGGTCACAAAGAGAGCAGCAGGAACTGCTGCATCTGGGATGGGAAGGAACTCAGAATCCAGGGGAAGACTTGAGACACTAGGCTCTAAGATGATGAGATAGACAGTGCAAGGGTACAAGAGCTCGAAGGAGGCTCTGCGTTCTTTTGTGATAGGCACCAACTACATCATAGCAAAATAACATGAAAAATTACTTGAGTTACTACTTTAGTGGAACTTATGGCTAGAATAACTACAGGAAGGGCTCCATGGAAAGATCCAGCTGGTATGGAGAAAATACACACTCAAGCACTGGGATTAATTCAGAGTTGGTGGGGAAAAGTGCTCTCTCGCTGACTTGCAGAAGATGATCTTTCTTCACAAGAGAGGACCACAGCATTTAGTTCCTTACAAAGTTCTATTTGTCTTGATCTTGTCCCTGTAAAGAAAATAATGGAAACATCCAGTGCGTTTCTGGGTATAACCTCCTCTATTTTAATCAACACATAATCACAGCATTTATTTACAATGATAATTCAAAATCTCTGCCTCACTCAGAACCCTTACTTAAAATTATTTTCTACAGTTACTACAGAAAAAGAATTATCATTTAATTATTTATTTCTTTTTTAAAATAATTCTTTACTCTCAGTTAAAAATCTGATTACAAATGGAAGTGATACTAATGGATATGGGATTTCTTTTTGGAGTGATGAAAATATTCTGAAATTACGTAGTGTTTATGGTTGCAAAAATCTACAAATATACTAAAAACAACTATACTTTGAGTGAATTGTATGATATGTGAATTATATCATCATAAGGCTGTTGCTTATAAAAAAAGTCTAGAGAATTTTCTTAGACTTTCTCATGTATAAATACCTAACTTTATCTATTACTTTTCCAAGATCTCTACCAATTGTCTTATTTATATAGCTTAACAACTTAATTGTTAAGCTAAATATTTTAGAATTTAAAAAATTGTCTTCTGCCAAAATTCATTTGTCTAGCAATATATTAGAAATGGAGACTCATAACCTGATAAACTATTTAGAGTTTTAAAATGCCTGGAAAACAACATTCAGTTAAAGCTTCCTTCTCACAGTCCAAATGGACCTTCTTATTTATAAAGATGGCTTCTGTATTATCCAAATTAATCTACCAATCAGACCGACAGTTTGAATTAACTGATGCCCAACATGCTATCTGGCTTACAAACAGACTGAAGTGGAACGAAGGAGAACTGATCTTACCTAGGTATTCCACACTGATTAGCTTAATCTTGCCTGAGAATGGAGAATGTGTGCATATGAGTGGAACACAAGTACGCAGTTGGTCAGAGCTCAACTCCTCTGAGAGAAAAATCCCTCCCTGTGGTGGCAGTGGGGACAACTGGATTTCTATTATCATATGACTAAAGGAAGAAAATTAAACTTCTAAGAAATTTCATCATTTGAGATGTGTGGCGTCGAGGTTCCTCATGATACTTTGATAGGAAAAAAAAATCAGTATGGGTACCCTTTGCCCTTTATATCATTCATCAGAAAAGATGAATGCTACTATAATGGTACAAAATTAAAAAGCTATATAAACTATATTTATATACAAATATCTTTCTGTTCAATTGTGTTAAAATGTTAAGAATCAAGGTTTTCGAGTAAGTAAATATATTAGGGCTGTAAGTGGAGAGGAATGGAGAAAAAGAATTAAGATATATTATGTACAGGTATAAATTCCCTATGATAAATGTACTAATAAAAAATAAACTTAAAAGAAGTATCAGAACTTAAAGGAGTTCTAAAGTTTAAAAAAAAATATATATATATATGAGTGCTGGTGGTAAGGCTTGTGGTAGAGTGCTTGGATAGCATGCTTTAGGCCCTGGGTTTAATCCCCAATACAAAGAAATAATTTTTAAAAATATACTGGGGAGAAATAATGCGATGTTAAATAAAAATTATCAATATGAACTTTATACACACACACCTGTCTAGAAAAGGTGTGATAAGCATATGCCCAACACCCAGATCAGGGCCTCTAATATCCATTAAAAAATAGGATTCCTTGGGGAAATGGCTGATTCCAGACTAGGTACACAATAGATACAAAGTGAGCCTAGGATAGCATCTCAGGCAAGGAAGCAGGAGTGGCTTCAAAGATAAATAAGCTTCTGACAGTGGAACACAGAGGAACCAGCTCAAAATAATTATCACTGGCTGAAAGTGCATCAATTCCAGCAGCAAAAGTACAATGACCACTACATGCAATAACATGGATAAATATCCTAGAAGGCAAGACACCAAAAGAGTGCACACCAGATGTTCTTGTATATTTAAAAAGAGTACCTTTAGTGCTACAGTTAGAAAATGGTTACGTGTGGACCCAGAGGCGGGGAAGGGAGGAGAGTCTGACTAGAAAGGAGTCCTCTGGGGTGCTGGAACTATAGGTATAAAATATATTAAGCTATAAACTTAACATTTGTGTACTTCATAACATAAGTATTTCAATAAAATAACAAAATACTGCAATAAAAAAGTACTGAATGTAACAGAGCAAAGCAACAAAAATGTATTAAATGTATAATGCTCAGAAAGGACAAAGCAGAAACTCATTTGCCATCATTTAAAGTGACTTTTGTTGTTGTTTTTTTGAGACAGGATCTCACTGTAGTTTAGGCTGGCTTTGAACTCACTATGTAGCCCAGGCTGGCCTCGAATTCACATCGATCCTTCTGCCTCAGCCTCCCAAGGGCTAGCATTATAGGCATGCGCCACCACACCCAGTTTTAAATTGACTTTTAACCTTATTTCTTACCTAGGAAATTGGTGACTTAGAGAGAATGTAATTTTTTCTTTAAATTTAAAGGGAAAAAGTTAAACACTGGGAAAATTGTACTTCAAGGTACCTAAATGGCCTCAGCTGTTGAAAAAGAGCTTTATTTAATAGGGGGAATGTCAGCTAGTAACTATCAAGGGAATGATTAAAAACATTCTTTTAACAAACACTAATAAAAGTATTGACCGAGTGACAATTTGACTTTCTCCTTTCCAGTTTGGATGCCTTTTCTTTTGCTTGCCTAGTGTCTGGGTAAGACTTCCAGTCCTGCGTTGAATAAAAGCAGTGAAAGTGAGCACCCTTGTTAAGCCAAAATGATCAATTAGGGTGAAACCACTTGGTGAATGGCCGATGGGTAAGTATCCATTTGTATGGTACAAAAACAACACCACAAAATGACTTTCTAGTGAAAGAGGGGAAAATGACTAGAGCGTGGACGGATAGGACAGCCATCACCTAAATTATGGTCCATCTTAACATCGATAATGGGTCTCATCATGTAATTCTGCAACAGTGCTGATGGAGTATTCAAGCTTAAAGAAAAGCTCTACTGAGTCTTCAGACCAACTTCCAGTTTACAGGAAATGTGGGATGGGAAAATAAAGTGGTATTTCAAAGAAGAAATCAAACAAGCGAGGGTGGGACATTCTGCAGGATAACTGACATGGGTATTGAGTAACAACAAATTTTCTACATTAGTCTTCAACTGTGTTTTATGGTTCTGGAATGGAACGTTTAAACAAATCAGGTGAATTTTTATGAAGTGAAAGTTTACTAACACGGAAAAGCAGAGATTGATAAATGAAACAAAAGCAGGTTATAAGGGGGCCGGGGATTTAGCTCAGTGGTGCTGCACCTGCCTTGCAAGCCCTTGGTCCTGATTTAGATTCCGGTAC